CAGCGAAGCGGCAGGGCAGTTTGCGGGGAAGCGCCTGGCGCGTTGTCGTAGGGAACACTAGTGGAATCTGGCGGGTGAGGAAGACCACGGATTCTGCTGCGTGTCTGTTCTTCAGGCTGTTTGTTGTCCACCCCTCTGCTTTTGGAAACTGTTTGCTTCTGGATCTAGGCAATGATTCTGAATTTGCAAATGTATTTCCTGCATCTTCCCTTTCCATCGTCCCGCCACGTGTACTAGTCCTTCTGGACCTGCTCACCAGTGCAAACCTTCAGCAACAGGTTCTTACAGCTTGCTCTCTGAGAGTCCTTAAGGAAAGACTTGAGGAAAAACTTCTTCCCAGTAAGGGTAACAAAACACTGGAACGGGCTGCCCAGAGAGGTTGTGGAGTCTCTTTCTCTGGAGATGTTCCAAACCCGCCTGGACGCGTTCTTGTGTGATCTGATCTAGGTGGGCCTTCTCCGGCAGGGGGATTGGACTCAATGATCCTTTGAGGTCCCTTCCAATCCCTGACATTCTGGGATTCTGTGACTCCTGCAAAACCTCAGGGCTGTCGTAGCAAAAGCATCACTTTTCAAAAGAAATTGCGTGTCTAGCATTTTCTGTTGGACACCAGTGAGGACAGTGCGTGACAAGCACAGTTGTCGCTTCAACACATCAGTGACATTGAGGTGACTTTTAGACACCCAGGTGTCCTGGTTTATCTAGTGTCCTTTGCCTTGAACAAATGAAAGACACCTGTCTTGAGGATAAACAAAAAAAAAAAGAAACGAGGAAGTGTTAGGACTGAAGTCAGACCACCCTTCTGGTCATTGCTACAAATTTGATTCATTAGCAAAGATATATCATTGTTAGGGCAGAATTTTAGGGATTTATCATCTACAAGTGCCTGACCCTTTTCAGTAAAAAGTATTTCCGAATATTTTATAGATGTTCCTTTGATTTTTTTTTTTTTTTTCCCCACCCTCTCCCTCCCACATTCTCTGAGCCTGACCACTGGCTCTCCTCACTTGCAGAGCGAGGCACTTTCTACTGAGAAGGAGAAGGACAAAGAGGAGGGCTTGGAGTCCCGGCCAGCAACAGCACAAAGCACCCCCCCCACGCAGCTCTCTGACACCGAGGACTACGCTGGCCTCGAGACCACCAGCTTGCTGCAGCATGGGGACACTGTCCTTCACATCAGTGAGGACAACGGGATGGAGAACCCCTTGCTGGCCACTCACTTCAGCTTCACGCACGTGGAGCTTGGGGAGACTGACGTTGATCTAGATGAATCTCATGTTTAACTCTGGGGGAAGTGCAGCAGCAGGAGGAGGAAGAGAAAGTGTACCTTCTCCCTTGAGTTCCCTGGTAACTAATGAAAGCAAGAGCACTTTATTGTCCAAAAGCAGAAAGTATTTAACAGCCAGTTGCTACAGACCAGCAGGTTTCTGTTTGTGAAATCTATTTCAGTTCAGGGCAAGACCACAGGAACCAAGAATTTTTACCAAATTCTCAGGATAGGGGTGTGGGCAGATCCATGGTCTGGATGCCGCGTTCTGTGATCAGCAGCCTCGGTGGGTGAGCGGGTTGTTGTGCTGTTTGAGCCAGAGAAGAGAGACAATCTCTTTGGAGATTGTGCCCAAGATTTATGTTTGTAGCGTTTTTGAGAGGAGGGCTGTATAGTAGCTGACTCCAAGGCGCTCACACCTTGGTGCTGACAGTGAAAACAGTAACACAAAGTACCCATCTGAAGCTTGATTTTCACAAGCCGGGAACCATTGGTTCTAACTTGCAGAGCAATGATAAGCACCATGGAGCAATTAGACTCTTTTTTTTTGGCACTGCAGACTTTAATTGAGTTTACTTTTGCCTGTTGGTTTCATTCCACTCTGTCAGATATTGCCCTTGTGCTACAAAAATATTTACTCTGTAAAACGAACTACAGGAGGTACCGTAAGAAGGAACGCACGTGCTGTGCTCAGGTATTAGATGGGCAGGGGGTGAGTGGTCTGCAGATGGTAGAAATAGCCCATGCTGTCCTGCTTAAGTGTAGAGTAAGCCATCTCCACAGCTTAAAAAAAAAAACAAACCCAGAAACTGCATCTGGAAGGCGTGGACCTTCTGGTACCTAGCAACTGCTCTGCTGATGCTGTCCTGCGTACTTAGATGTAGGGATTTAAAGTAAATATTTATAGATGGTATTTTCATGTTCCTATATATATAAATATAAATATATATGCACATTGTAAACAAAAGATGGCTATTGCAAGGCAGAAAGTTGATGAAAGAATCTATTTTTGGCATGTGGAGATTGTATTTCAAAAGGTTCCATGTTATGTATGTAACGTACATGGCTGCAAGCGTGAGAGAGAGAGATGTGACATTTCTGTGTAGGTGGAGATCCCCGTGGGGGAACCAGCTGACGTCCCAGCTGAGGTATGGGCTGTGCTGCAGCATCATGGCATCACACCGAAATGTGAATTTAGCCATTAGCTGCTCATGGGCAAACTGCAGAACAGCTGTGAAACAAACCATGAGATCGCACCCTGTGCTTTGGGAATTGGGTACTCCCATTTTCAGCTCACGTTAGAAGGACTAGAGTTCATAATCACGGCGTTATCGTGCAGAGGAAAGTGGTTTAGAGCACTCTGAGAGTCTGTGAAATGTGCTAATTACTGGTTTGGCTCCAGAGGGCTTGTGATTTGGACGCACACATCATAAAACAGCCTTACTGAGGAGATGGAAGGATATCCATCCTCCTGTCCACCTCCAAAGGAAGGACTCGCATCTCTCTCCAGCAGCTCTGGAATAGCTGTTTAAGATACTGCCTCCCTGCTGTGGTGCAGCATGCAGTTCCTACTGCTGTGTGGAAAGTTAACCATATACCTGGTAGCAGGTTTCAGCCTGCGGAAACCCACGGAGCCTTCAGGTAGTGCTGCCCGGCATTTGCCGAATGCGCAAATGTGACGGGAGCCGCTCTGAGGAGGGACCTCGTGCACGTTAAACCTCCAAAGAGAGCAAAAGCCACCCTGCTCCCAGGCTCACGGGGGTCTGAGCGTGTCCGCTCCCGCTGCACTGGTGAGAGATGGAGACTTTCAGCACCTCTTGGGAAAAGCAGGGCTGAAAAGGCAAGTGTTTCTGTAGTGCACCACCTATATCACCATATAGAGCGATATATGGCACACACAGGTGGTGCACTAAAGCAGCGTTAAAGGTTGGTTTGTAAGAGGGGATGGTGGGGTGAAGGTGGCAGTGTCTCAGCTCTGCTGCTCCATGGGTGGCCTGACTGACAAACTGCTTACTCTGCTGACCCAAACATGCTGTCCTGCTGCTTATCTCCTCAGCACACTGGAGCCAGCACCAGCTACCTGCCGGAGCCTGCTTTGGGTTAGCGCCTAGCTTGGAGGTCACTCAAAGAATTGCTAAATTCCAGATGCTAAATTCCAGTTTTATTATTAACAGTGACGCACAAATGAGGAAGAAAACCACAGTTTTGACTTTCAGACCCCAAGGTAGGCCGGGTTCCTGGCAGCCATGTGGGGGAGGAGAGCTTTAGGCAGGCGCTGAGCCAACGGCTGGTGCGCGATGCACACGGAATTCACGGTGTGTTTGATAGAGCGGCCTTTTCTGCTGGAAATGAGAAGGAAGCCTCTTCCTTCATGAAAAGTAGGTGCCTCACCGTGGTACGCCACTCTAAGGGTGAGAAAATAACTGTGATTTCCTTCATTTAACTCAAGTGTACGTAATAAATGTTTCCATTCAGGTTTCCCCGTCACCGGTGAATCCTCAGATGCCTCTTTTTCCATGTGCACCCTGCTGGAAACCCGTGCGCAGCTTGTACATGGCGTGCCCCGTGCCTTCGTGCCGTTCGGGTGGGTGGCGCTGACGGTGCTGGGTGGCCGCTGGGCGACGGCCCAGCTGCTCCCGCGCTGCGCTTCGCGTCGGTCGCGCCGATGGCTGCGCTCGCGAGGCGCA